AAGTATTTCCAACATCTTCTGACAGTTGCTGAATTTTGTATATTTCTTTGGCTTGGCTTCTCTGAACATCCTTTCTGTCTTCAAAGTACTGTGGTGAGCTGTTTTGTTTTGCTACTCTTTCTTCATTGGATTAGAACCAGGAGATTGGATTTTGGGAACAATTTCTTCTCAGAGTGGTGAGAAAGTGGAATGATCTTCCTATGTAGGTGGTAGAGTCACCATCCCTGGAGCTGTTCAGGAAAAGTGTAGGTATGGCACTGAGGGACATGTTTACTGTAAATGCCAGTGGTGGGCTGATGGTTGGACTAGATGATATAGTGGTCTTTTTGCAGCCTTTATGATTCTATGACAACCAAATGGTTCTATTTGTTCAGTGTGTTGTATATTGTGACCAGTACCGTGCAGGTCTGCTGTGGGACAGATTCCATTTGTGATCAAATTTCATTCTGTCTGCATGCTCCTTTTGGAGTGGAGAGCCATGGGTGAAGTACTTCTCAGGAGAGCCTTGAACTCTGAGATTTGGTGATCAAGGAACTTATGCAGCCCAAATTTTCCCCCACAAGCCTGTTAGTGCCAGCAATAAGTTCAGTTTAGTGCATCTCGGGCATTATTAAAGGGAAATAGAGCATAGCCCATTCCCTCTCTGAAGTGTGGTCTACTTTCTTACTCTCCATGTGTGTTCATGTGTGCAGACTTGAAGGCCATGAGAGAAACACGCTTGCTATGGCAAAGGATTTTTTCTCTAGCTCTACATAATTTCTTCAGCTGTTTTATAAGTGGAATTAAGCTCAGGAGCAGTTAGAATTCAGCTGACTGCTTCTATATTTAATAAATAATAACCCTGCCATGAAATCGTAATTGGCAATAAAACGTCCTGCAATGCTTCTAACAGCTTTCCACCTCCATTGTAAATCTGCACTTCCAGGCTGCTGCTCATCGCCAGAAGACAGAGTGTATTCATTACTTCAGACACACAACTGCTACCACAGAAATGAGAACTGGAATGCAGGCATTTTAAATTCTTTTATCCTCCTCCTCCTGGGCACAGAGGTTCCCCTGTTTTTTGCCCTTCATTGAGGTTTTTGCCAGACTTTTTCCAAAGCTTGCAGCATTGATAGATTAGTCTGATTTTCCTTGATGTCCCATTCCTCTCTTTGTAGCCTCTGTAATACTATTTGAGCTGAGAATTATGTTGGTGATGTAGTCTGAAACTTTGTTCTAATGTTTCGGGGGTTTTTTTGTTGCTTTTTGCCAAGTTTTAAACTTTCATTTTAAACTTCATCTAGAACTGTTTTTCTTTAAATCTGCTATCCAACAGAAATTCAGTGCAGATCTGCAGTTTGCTCTGAAATGAACAACTCAGATACAGTGATGGGTTTGCTTGCTCCTGCTTTGGAGCTTGAGCTTGGTTCTGATTTCATTGGTTTGGATTGGACGCTCAAGGACCGTGGTGGTGCAAGGGCTCAGTCCTCTTTAGCAGAGGGTTAGCTTCCTATTTGTAGAGGCTCTATCAAAAACAATAGTTAAGCATATAGCTGGATTCTTCAAGTTCTTTGTGTATGTTCCACCACCTGCATTCCACAGACAGAGCCCATAGCTATGGGGAAGGGATTGCTTAGTCAAAGGCAGGTGGGAACTTGCAGAGGAGCAAGGAGCATATCTTCTCTGAATTGCAAGCCTGTGGCTTAGCCATTAGATTATTCTCCATCCCCTGTACAGGAAGAAAGAGGTTCATCAGCTCCAGGCAGCCTCTGCCTTCCAATGGGGGAGCAGCTCTTAAATCAGGGCAGGATTTAGTGACAGTTAGCTGCTCAGCTCCTAAAATGCAGGAGTGTTCCTCTGTTGTACAGTGAACGATAGGATGCTGACTGCCTCAATATTCTATAGGAATGCACATTTATTGGGCTACTGTTTCAGACCAGGGAACTTGGCTGTTCTTGGTTAAAGCTACCTGTGGTTCTGTCCCTGAACAGCAATCTTAATGCACAGCAGAAGGAGAGAGTGGAGAATTAAGACCTTGCAAAATGCATGGTTATCTTGGTGGTTATGTTGAGGGGAAGAGAATGAGGAGATTATAAATTCCATGGTGCTGACAGTTCTACTAACGTAGTCTGCAGATTTAATAGCATTTTTCTATGCACTTTCTTCATCCACTTCTTCTCAAAGACATTTCCTTAGGAATTGCTTATTCTTCTGCAAGAGTGTATTTGCAAATACAGATAAATGGCTAAGAATCTTTTTTCGTAAAATGGACCACCTTGAATTTAGATCACAAACAGCAATGGAGATGAGAAAAAAATCCTTCTTTTAAAGCTCATTTATCTATAGAAAAGGAGTGAAGTGCTCATCATTGTGATTTCTGTGATTTCATCACTGAGATTTTTGTGCCCTTACTTCTTTACTGAGGGTGAAGTTCAGATTTTTGCAAAAGATTCCATCCAAAAGTGCAACTGGTAGAAAGAACCCACATGCTGACAGTCTGGAGATTTAATCCAAAGCTCAATAGCTGCTGACTGGTCAGAGATCAGGCTGGGCCCAGGCAGACAGAGATCTGGCATCTCATTCCCTGAAGTCTTTGAATGTATCAAAATTGAGTCTGCACAGATTCTGAAGGAAAGTCAAACAAATTTTTCTGTATAAAAGAAAGTTTCTTCTACTCCAGCTGCCAGCCTCTAACTTCAGAACTCACAAGTTAAATCCTAAAAGATCATTTTCACTTCATGTCTTAAAAGATCTAGAAACTTGATGTTGTCTCTATCTGGAGTGGCTAAAAAAGGTGGCTGCAAATGCTGGGGAAGCTCCAGATAAACAGGCTGATCTTCCTCTTCCAAGGACACTAGATACAGATTTGGGTAATATTTTGGCATTTTTCTCTTGATGCTGAATAAAAGCAGAAAAGTCAACTCCAAAGTAAATTCTCAGTAAAAAATTATATATATACACACACATAGAGAGAGCTTTAAGTAGATGTGTGTTCAGATGTACCTGTTTCTTTTAAACAAGATAAAAAAAAATCAGAAGAGTCATATCAGCCAAATCTGGGGAAATTATCAACATGGTGCACAGCAGTGAAGTGATTTTGTTTTCTGTCTCACAGCGCAGCTGTGGGGTCAAGATGTGCTGCAGGTTTCCCCACTGTGTGCTCTCAAGTTCTCTTGTCCTCTGATTCAAAGCTAGATTTGAGAAACGTAATTTTGTGTGGCTTCTGAGTCCAAGGTAAAGAGAACGGCCAATGAAGCGGCTTCTTAAAGAAGCCCTCCCTGTTCTTCTTGCATATAATCCATTTCCTTTGCTTAAGGATTATCTCAAAGTTGTTTGATCTTTCCTATTTGAGAAGCATGCTTATACTGTGGTGTGCTACCAAAGTGAGACTTAAAAGAAACAGCTTAGGTTAAGAAAGCGCTATCGTGTTTTGTTATGCATTAGAAAAAATATGTGTTAGCATAACAATTTGAGAGTATTTTATGTTAAAACAGTGGGGAAACTTAACTTCTCCCTTTGTAAAGCTACCTAAATCTCTTCAAGCTGAAATTCTTAGAGATTTCTGAAAGTCCTGACAGGGGAAAACAAAGTCAGCTGTAGGAATCAATTCTGCACAGAGGAATCGCTGGGATTTGATCTTGCCTGCTACAGGCTTTTGAGATTCAATCAGAAAAGTCTGCTGTTTCACCATTCATTCCAGAGGTATTCAAATAGCTTGCTTAACACTGGCAAGGGGAGAGGGAGAAAACCCAAAGGGAAATTTCAGAGAGCAAGCACGCCTTTGTAGAGGATTAAAAAAAATAAGTATTTTTTTCCTAAATAATTAGTTGAATTATAGACATCTAATTATAGATATATAGGTATCACAGACTGCCCATAGCCTAAGATTCTGAGAATAAATACAAGATAAACAACAAAAAAAACATTTATAGCAAAGCAGCCAACAACAAAGAAGAGCAGTGACAGCAACAAAGAAATATTCAGAGGCAGGAGTGTAAGAACTACTGAGAAGCCTCTTGGCACCTGTGATATGCTCGTGGGGAAAAGAAGGCAAAAAAAACCCCAACCAGTCAATGCAAGAAGTTTTAGCTTATTCCCCAAATAGGAGAGAACAAGGTGAGAGGAGAAAAGAGACAGTGAGATGAGATGCTTTCAGGAAGCTTGGTTGCTGCCTGAATGCCTCAGAGCAGAGGTTCTGAGCCAACCTGAGCAGTCATTCAGGACAGGCTTCAAAGAGATGTCCTCCTCTCTTTCAGATAATCAATATGTAAGTTACTGTTTTCCCTGTTGATTTCAGCTCAACATGGTTGTTCTGAAAAACTATGTTTTATCTGATTGTATTCCAATGGATGCACAATTTTCTGTTGTTTAAATAGCTATTACTGATGCATATGGGTTAGCACTGATTCTTTCTCACTGTGAATGGTACCAGTCACCTCTATGGGCCAGAAACAGAATCTTCCCCTGGCTGGCCCAGGCCAAGGGCTGGACATTCCGTGACACCCAGAGGTCTCTCTAGTCCCCACAGGCTCCATCCCTGAAGGTAATGCTGACTGCCTCAGTGTTTTATAAGAATGCACATTTATTGGGCTTCTGTTTCAGATCAGGGAACTTGGCTCTACTTGGTTAAATCTACCTACACCTGTGGTTCAGGTAGCATAGCAGCACAGGGCATAGCTGTGAAAACAGATCGAGTTCTGCTTAGGAGTGTATTGCTCTTGAGGCAGAGCAGCCCATGAGGCTGGACAAGTTCTGGATGCGCTAAATGCATACTTGCTCTTCAGGTCTATGCTTTTACAGCCGTGGCAGCTGTGGATGCCTGGCAGGCTGAAATGCACATGGACACCTCTGTATGTGCTGACTTCTTACCAGCTGCTGGTCCTGCTGCTGAAAGAGCATGCGGATGGCTGTTGTCAGAGTTGTACTGAAGGAGAGCTCAAAGGGACGACTCCAGCTTGTTGGTTTTTGGGTTGGTTTTTTTTTTTTTCCTTCACTTTGCTTTTTTTCTTATCACTCAGCTGCACTGAAGCCCGATGCCTCTGGTAGCCAGTGGTGGAGCAGTGAGAAGCTGGTATTGCTGCTGTGCTTTTACAGGAGAGGCTTGGCTGCATTAACTCCTAGGAAAACAAGAGCCCAGGCAGCTGGAGCAGAGCCTGGCAATGGAGGTTGGCCCCACAGCAGCCAGCAGCAGCTCCCCGGCTGGCACCGGCTGGCTGGATGTCACTTTTGTCACCTGCACTGACACCGTGACTTTCACCGAAGTGCTGGAGGAAGAGGAGTGGAAATCCTTTTACTACTCCTTTAAGGTACAGCTGGTGCATTGCTTTTCTCACAAGCTTTAGTGCATCTCAGTGCCTCTGCAAGCAGGCAGCTGGGATTATTGATGTTTTATCCCAGATATAGGTGGCATTTGCCCTGCGAAGACACTTGACAGTATATGTGAGGCATTTAACTGGAAAACAAAGAGTTGCAGGTTTTGGAGTTCAGACTTGCAGATCTTAGCAATCGTATTCCCTTACAAGAGGGGGTGGTAATATTTTTCTAAAGTGGCATTGCAGATATACGCGCATCTTTAATCAAAAGTGTGTTGTAGTTTAACACATCCTTTGTGTAATTTCTTATTAGCCATCTCTTGACACAAGGAATTTCTTTTCAATTTCCCAGCTGCAACAAACATTGCACACAAGCAAAAAGGTTTTGTGTGTGTGTGTGTGTGTGTGTGTGTGTGTGCTTAACCAACAACAACAGGGATTAGCTCTAATTAGTTAATTGGCTTGGTTTTCTTTTAAACTTGTGAGGAGGATGCAGGATCATTGTTAGAATGTAGCAAGCAAACGATTCAGGATTGAAAGCCGCTGAATGATGTGAGAAGTGCATTCATTCATCTCCCCAAAACAAACATCACCCTCACAGTATGCGATGGTAGAGAACAGATGAAAGAGGTGCTGAGTTACATCTTTGCTTCAGCTCTCCGTGTCTGTTGTCATTGCTCAGCTTTATGCTGCGTGCCATGTGTTATGATGCTGTAGTGGCACACTGTACAAGTTGTGCTCAAGTTACTAAAAGGAGCTACAACAAGAAGTACCCCGCCTTCCCTCCGGAGCTCAGAACCAAGCAGATCACTTCCAGATGGAAAGATGCAGGCACTCGCATCGTATGGCAATCTGTTGGAAATCAGGGGATGTATTCAGATGCACTTTTGACTTCCAGGAGGTTGTTAGTACTCTGATACATTGCCCCTGGAATCAGTGGAATTATAACAGGGATTCACCTCTTCTATGAAAAAAGTTGATCTGTAGTCCTACAATTCATTATCTGGAGTTTCTTTTAACACAACAGTCCTTTCTTCCCCCCCCCCCCCCCGTGTTAGACGCTTAAAAGGCTCTTCAGAAAGCAGAGAAGTGAGGAGCAAAACCTTTTTTCACAATTTTCTTCTTATCTCCTCTCTTCTCTCCACACTTAGGGCTGTAAATCTGAACAATGTCATGGGAGCAATATTTTATAATGGTAAAAATGACAAATTAATTCCATGATTAGAAAGTCCCCAGGCAGAAAAATGCTTCTTAATAGGGCAGATTGAGTAAATTACAATAATTAGGATACTATGGATAGTCATGCGTGCTCGTCCATTGCTGAAGGAAACTTGATTTTATTAGCTGAGAGCTTCTCATTAGACTTGCACTCTGCTGCCTGATGTCTAGCTTTAGCAAATATAGGACGAACTTTGCAAGGAGGTTCACTGATTTCACATCAATTACTGGCTACTGATAGGCATAGAAATATTTTGACTCGGGAGACAAGTGACAGCTGGTGTTGCTGTTGTAGGGAAGGAGGAATAATGGACCTGCTGACACCTAGTATGCAAGGCAGGGCTCTCTGCCAGCCATTTCAGCTCTCAATGAGAGCTTCACGTGTGGAAGGTGCTGACAGAGCTGCCTGTGCTTCACCATCCACACTCTGTGTGGTGACCATGTCCATGTCTGTTCCAGCAAGATGCCCAGGATCTCCTTTCTTTTCACAAGGCTTTGGTTTGGCAGCTAGAGAAATAGAAGGTCAGCTTGGAACAGGCTGCGTGGATTAAAAACCCATGTCATTTGAAATTGGTGCTCAAAATACAGCTGCAAATGGGCTTTGGCCATTAACTGGGATTTTCAAACATGCTATAGCTGTTCCTGACTAAAGAAGATTGACAAAAGGCCACCATGCAGGTGCAGGTTGATCCCTGCGTGGCCATGAAGCAGAAGTCTCAGGGTGGCTGTGGGGCTGTGTCTGTGGCATGGGGGGGATTGCCACATTGTTGTACATCCAGCACAAAACAAGCAAGTGTTGCTATTTCTCTTTGGGAAATATGGAGTTGTGTTATCTACCTTAAGAGATTTAATAGGAAAACATAATCTAAACCAATAAATGGGGACCAAGGAGTGATGCTCATGCAGTAAATGGAGCAGTTCCAACACAAATGACTTCTAACAGTTTTATCCACTGGCAGCTCTGTAGGGTGTCTCAAACTCTGCTCAAACTATGGGATGAGAGGAGAATACTGTATTCTTCTTTTCCTCCCATGCTTCAGAAGTACTACCTGTACCAACCCCCAGGTAATATCTGGGTTATATTGTGGTGGCAATGTGACAAAAGTAAAATAATGCCACTCAGAGCGTTTCAGTGCCAAAAAAAAGGTCCTATTATGGCTTGAATTGTGAATGCTTCCCTGCTCCCCCTTTCAGAACAATTTGAATTTCTTTCCTTTCCAATCCTCTTCAGAACATAATAACTGAATCCCATGCTGATTCAGATTAAAAAACATTTTGCCAGTTCAGTTAATTTTTTTTTTTCTTCCCTCCTTTTATTTTTTTGAGCTGGGAAAAGGGGCATTTCATCCACTTGGAGGAACATGCTCTTCCCTTCTGTTAGACATTTTGATAGCTGCCTGGCCAGCTGCTATGTGAGCCTTTACCCCCAGGTCTGCTGTAAGGCTGCTTCCATGTGCAATGGGCTCAAAGCTGTTGTCACATCTTTTTGGCAGGACCAGGTGTGTCGTGTAGTTCATGAGATGAGCCAGAGCTTTCTGTGGTAAAGAGAGCAGCTCGTCCCCGCCTGCAGGTTCTGTGATCATAGAATGGCTTGCATTGAAGGGGACGCTAAAGATCTTCTAGTTCCAACCTCCACATGGCAAAGTATTGCTGAAAGCTGAGCCCGTGTCTCTGCCTGAGGCCTTTGTATGAGGCATGCTGGTAGCTCACTGTCTGGAACCACAAGTGCAAGGAATTCTATTGTCTGTGCTGGCATCAAATTCATAACAGATGTGCAAATTGGTATTAATCACAGCTCCAAACTCCCAGGCCAATGGAAAGCTCATTACATCCCTTTACAATCTCCTCCACGTGCATTTAATCTCTGTGTAAGAAGACTCTGTGTGTCAAATGCCCTTTGCTGAATACAGTGAGCTGTAGAAAACATTATCAGAATGCCTGTTACTTTTCTCTACTTTCAGAGTCTCTCAGTTCTGCCTACCTGACTCATGGGGGCCTAAGACATAAGGTGCTATCCACAAGCCTTCGTAGAGAGCCTGGGGAGAAGCCAAAATCTCAGAATAGGTTCATCAAGCTGAGTAAGAAGTCCCTGTGGCCAACAAGGCTGGAATCTTTGTGAAGGCTGGAAGATGCACCTCCCTTTGTGCAGCCCCAGCTGCTCCAAAGCTTAGAAAGACTCCAGTGGGGCTCGATTCTTATGTATGACGTGGCTGTTGGACAATAGGATGCTCTACTTTGATGCAGTAGAGTAAAGGTAAGAGCACTCAAATACTGAAAAGTCCCAGGCATTCTTCCTTCTTTGGCAGGAATGACAGGTGGTGTTCCCTGCCTTAGAATCATGGAATCATAGAATTGGTCAGGTTGGAAAAGACCTCAAAGATCAAGTCCAACCCCAATCTAACCATCCTACCCTAACTCTAACAACCCTCTGCTAAATCATGTCCCTGAGCACCACATCCAAACAGTTTTAAACACATCCAGGGATGGTGACTCAACCACTTCCCTTCCACCATCTAGTTGCACTTTCTCGTTTTTTCTTTATCTGTACAACAGCACAGAATTTTGTCGCTCTCCCCCAAGAGTTTTTGGGAACCCCTGTCCCATGCTGCAAGGTGGAAACCTCAACAACAGGACTATATGTTGATGTCTTCCTTACTCCAGCTTCATCAGTCGTGGTCCCTGTGCTGTGCAGCGTCACCCCAGCAGTGGTAGTGAAGGATAAGAGCTGTTTGGAAAAATACTGTGCACGTTAAATCCACTACAAATGATTATTCATGAATAGTTAAGATTCCCAGTTTGTTTGGTTTTGTTTTTTTTCCAGGAAGAACTGTGTACCTGTGGCTATGATGTCCTCCAACACCATAGCATTGCCAGTACCTGCATCTTGTAGCCTAGCTAGTTCAGATAATAAATGGGACTGTAGAACCATGCTAGTGTAACCACAAATATAAAACCATGTGCTTCTCATCCATGGAATATAATCTTCATTGCAAAGGTCAGGGCCTATCACTTCCACCAAAGTACTGAGAAGATCAATGCAAGGAGAGCAGGTTTCCACAGATGAGCTTTGCAGAACTAACAACTAACAAGGATTTGTCTCCAGGTGTCCTCAGAGCCTATTTAAGTCAGTATCTGTGTCCCTATCATTTCAGCCAAATGCAGGAGTCTCTTTATCTCCTGAAAAGCATTTGCCTTTATTATTGCTCATTCTGATTTTCAGGCAGACCGCACAGAGCATCCCATCCCTGAATACATAACAGAAAAATATTAATGGGTGCTGTCAAATTTCTGGAGTAATCTCTGTAAATGCAATTGTATGTTTTAGGAAAATGAGCAAACCAAATAATTCATAAGTGACTTTGCTATCTTTCATTGGAGTGAGAGGAGGAGAATGAAGTCTACACAAATACAGTGTCAAGAACTCCTGAACACAGGCACTGCAGTATGCTGTAAGGAGTGCTGCTAGAACTGAGCTGCCGTGCTGAGGAGGCAATAGCTGCCCACCTTGTGAAACAAAGCTGTTCTTGGATGAGCTGGCTTCATCTACTAGCTTAAATGCAGCACAGAAGGAAGCTAGCTTGGTAACAGCCCAGCATGCAGGAGCTGTGAGCCAACCAATTCAGGCAGTTTTACACCAGCATTCCTCACACCTCTGACTGTTGTCCGTGTGACCCACAGGTAGGGTTTGGATCTGTCTGAATCTCTAGTATAAATATGCTTAAAGTGTCTCTAGTCTATGAACTGTTTTAATTTCACAGATTAGGCACATTTAATCA